GCATGAAAACGTGTATTTCACTGCTCTGTTGTCATAAATCTATGCATGAAAATGTGTATTTCACTTTTAAAAAATTAATAATATTGATATTTTTAAAGTGATGTTAATGTTTTTGAGTGCTATAAATACAATTATAAAAACTTAGATGTTAGATATGAAAATACATACGACTTCTGTGGTATGTATCTTAATGCCCCAATATTCACATGGAGCTTACATGATACATCAATATATACATCAATTGTTTCTCCAACACTTATTACTGCTTTGCGTAGTTGATGAGATCATTACTAACAATGACAATGATGATATCACTACACTCTGAAAACGTCTAAAACAATACTTTAAGGGAAGATTTACATACATACCCCATAATTCAAAAGTTTCTACATATCTAACATGTAAACTTCAATTTTTAGGTATATTTCACCTTACCTATGCATGGAAAGATGTATTCCACTGTTTAGAAGTTAAAAAAAATGATACTTTTAATATGATATGAAAGATTTGGGTGGTACAAAATGCAAAAAAAAAAAAAAAAATGGTATCAGATATGTAAATACATAGGAATTGGGTGGTAGTATGTAAATGCCCCTACTTTAAAAATCAAGGATTCAGGTCAAACATATTATTTTGTTGGCCTTCAAATATCTTCCGACTCCACTAGTTATGTTCTCTCACAAACCAAGATGCCTCTAATTTTCTTGCTAGTATAGGCATTAATGAGTTGTCAGTAACCTCCACTCCCCTAGAAATGTACATTCATTTCAACCCTATTAATGAAATAACCCTATCAGATCCTACTAATTATGGACAATTGGTTAGGGCATTAGCATATCTGACTATTATTCATTCTGGCAGTTGCCTATGTAGTTCACTCTGCAAGTCAATTTATTGATGTTCTCACATTTCACATTATTTTGTTTTTCTTCAAATTATTCATTATGTATGAAATTCTTTGAATTGTGGTCTTTATTATTTTGTTCAATCTCTACATGTTCTTATCTCCTACCCGAATGATGATTGGGCTAGTGGTCCTACTAAAAATAAATGACTAGGTTTCGCTTCTTCTCTAAAGTTCTTTTAATTTATTGGTGAAATAAGACATAAACAAAGGTTGCTCGCTCCAATGTTAAAGTTAAACATCATGTCCATGCAAACATTATAAAAGAATTGCATTGGTTTCGATAATTACTAAACAATATGGGCATTGCTCATTATGATCCCTTCATTATTCATCATAATAATCAAGTAAAATTGTCATTGTGTAATTTGATGACTATCATGAGAGCAACAGGCACATTGAGACTGATTGTGAGATTTCTTGCTCGAAAATGTTCCCCTTCAATTTATTACTTCTCAAGACCAACTAATCAATACAACAACAACAACAACAATATTGGGGCGTTCTACATTGATTGGGGCGTTCTACATTACTTCTAAGGAATTTCTTCAGTATTTCAAGGTGCTCCTTAGTGAATAGTTCGATTGATCCTCCATATGTGTTTATAGCATTTGCCTTTCTCTCTTGATCCTTCCTGTCCAGGTTTCCAGTTAGTAGGCTTTCCATGAAGTTCCCAATGTTTATGTTTGATATGCCAAATCTTCTTGCAATAATCACATGCAGGATGGTTCTTCCTGACATTTGAGGCATGGGAGGAATTGTGGGTGTACATAGTTGAACTTTCAGTGCTCAGTAAACCCCCATTTTCGGTCAACATCAGCTTCTACATGCTCTCTCCTCTCCTGAATTCAGCAAAGGTTGGCGCTTTGTTCTCATTATCCTCTCTCTCGCCTCATCCAATTTTTGAGTCAATCCTAAAGAATTTGATGGTCCTCTTCTTTTCGATGATGAATTTAAATTTCATAGCATCTTGTGGACTTTTCCACCTTTGTGTCTCAGATATATCCAATTATAGTCAATATTTTATTAGAATGTTGAAGTATTGGGTGTTGCATAACTTGAAGGAGGTCATGAAGCTTGGTTTCGATCTCAAACAACTCTGTAGTGTTCTCAGTGCTAGAATATATTTCTCTAGCAGCCTCCCAGATTTCTTTGGCAGTTTTGTAGAGCAAAAATTTTCTTCCACATTGGTGTCATTAAGTTGACTAGCCAAGAAATAACCATATGATCTTGATTCTTCCATGAACGGAGTTTGTGGTCAATGATCTTAGGAATTGTGCCCTCTCTAGAGATATCGTCCTCTTTCCTTTTATGACAAAAATACATAAACACTTATTATGAACATTAAAGAAATTTATAACCATTGAGTTTATGATTTGTGATAAAGTTCAATAGTTCAGGAGTATTTTGGAAATAACCCCTGATCTCTGACTCACAATTCACCTTCGGAGTAGAACTTATCGTCTTCATCACATACTTTTTCATCAACCTAAAGTGTATTTAGAGTTGCTTCTAGTTGCTGGTTTAAAATAGACTCCAATTGATTGTTGTTGCTATTGTGTATATTGTTGTTGCTGCTGTAGAAAACAGATGATGGTGGCAAAACCTGAACATAAACCACTCTATAAGGAAGGTCCGACGGAGGAGGGCCTACAACCAAGGATTCCCTTTGTAAGGAGGATTCCAAAGAGGGCCAGCAACCTGCAAGAAGATTGTTGGCTACATAAAAGAGGAGATTTTCAGTGACATGCAGGGGCTCCCATGTTAGGGGAAGGAATTGCAACTAGATTTGGCGAGAACTGAGAACATGGAAGAAATTGGATGTTAGCTGCAAGGATGAGACTGGCTGTCAGAACTTCTTCAGGATAGCCTTCAAGAATCTCAAAGTTTGTTGATGTTGGAAAGCCTTCAGTAGGGTGCGGGTAGCAAACTTTTGCTTCTGCTGAGAGGATAGATTTGGGATGCCTACACTGAAACTAGCGCTGCAAGGGAGCTCTGTGATGGATTTGGTTGCAGGCAAAACAATGGCAAGGAAGACCACAAATTTCTTGTCGGAAGACCAGAGGAGATTTTTGGTGAGGATGAAAGGATTTTCAGCCAGTAAGATGGGAGAGTTCCTATTAGAAAGACAGAGGAGATTGTCGGGACCTCTGGGAAGAAGGGATTTTCGACTGGCATGCAAGCTGGCAGGGGATTAGAGAGGTTTCAATGGCAGAGAAGCTAAGGTTTTGGTTCAAAGCTCTGATACCACGTAAAATTCACTTGGGAAGGAAAATTTTTTCCTTCATTATTCACAAATAGGGTGCATATATATAGGGAAATCAGTCCCTCCTTGTTTACAAACTTACCAAACATATCTCACCTAAATTAGGAAAGGAAATAATTATGAATAAAAAAAAATACAAAAAATAGGAAGGGAGTAAATCAATCAAAGGTTCTCTAAGATATCACAATCAAATCCTCTAAAATTTGGAGGTGTTGGCAGGCCCACATGAGAGAGGTAAATATAGAAAGGACCAAATATTCTCAGATTTCGACAATATCCTCATCACTAACTCCATATAAATTGTACCCTCGCTATTTATTCTTTTTAAAAATTAATAAATAATTCAATGGCTATGAGGTCCAAGATGTAGGCAGACCTCATCGAACCACAATAATTTTCTATGCATGTGTTCCAGTATTTGTTTCATTCAATTACTTCTCAACATGATTTTTTCTCACTAATATTATCCTAACACGACACAAGTTTAGCTTTAAAGCCCTTGATTTGATGACATTAATACAAAGTTGAAAGCTTCTAGATTATTACATAATTATAAGCAAATTGACGATATAGTCATTCACCATGTCGGTTCAGTACAAATTTTGAAATCTTTCAGAACTCTCTAATAGAGAAAAAAAACAACTTAAATCTACCATAATCCTAACATTACCATGGATAGCACAAACAAACCTGAATAAATCCATAACGGCCACTAAACAATTCA